GCCAGAAGGGCAGCAAAGGTGACATACGTCACTTTCACACGCAGCTTCTCAAGCAAGTGAAAACACGTGCACATTTCCCATCTGGTCCCACACACATCACTCAGGGCAGACTGCCCGCATTTATATGCCTTTCATCTCAAATGAGATGCTAGAGTCATTAATAAAAGACTCTGTGGGTCTCTGTCTCACATGTACACACAGACACACACACTCAGTTTTATGGACCATTGATAGCAAATTCATCAGTGGCTCATGACGGTTGTAATGCCTAAGTCTGACGAATGAAGGCGGCCTGCAGTGTCTGCTCTGTCTGGCAGTGCTTTGCTCTGGATTAGCTAGTCAATTCTCATGAGCTGAACAATCTCCCTGCGTTGCCTGAGGAGATGACAGGGTCACGGCTGATGAAAATGAAAGGGAAAAAAAATTAAAAATCACACCTTGCCTTGGGGCACTCCATCATAGAATTCAAACTCTAATATTATATATTAACTGAGACAATGATGGAGAAAGATTGGTATTCAGGATAAGACATAAGGGAATAGGGGTTGCTATTTATTGACAACCACACCAGCATGGAAGCTTAAGCCTCCACTCCCCGCGATCTTTAGCCTCGCAAAGTATGAAAATATCTGATTTTTTAATGAGTGAGTGTTAAATGAGAATGTTTCACCCCCTATGAGGGTTCACTGTGCACAATCGATTGCTTTCACTAAACAAACTACAACCCGTTCGAATTCCAGGAATTCCAGGTTGTCATTGTTAATTCAACTCAAATGCATTTAAATGACAATGTCGTTCACTGCGTGGCTTCCTGCCTTTCATTCCACCAGTGTCGATCAAGTAGTCTCTGCTTCAACATCCAAGAATCTGACATCCACATGCTGGCAAGCCCATTTCATGCTTCAAGTCCTTGGAGTAATGGGGGCCGAACTTGTGTGAGAGTGAGGGGTTAGAAAAAAAAATGATCAGAGAGAAGGATAGGCAGTAATCTCAGCCGCATTCCACCACAATCTGCGTCCGCCGGTTTAAAATCGTCACTGGATGGTACCGGCTACAGTTTTAAGAAAGCCGCAAAATGCAAATACAGTCACTTTGGCATATGAAGCTACTACAATGTAACTGTGTCTAAAAGAAAAAAGATGCATATTCTCTCAGTTTTCTTTGAGGGGCTTTGGCAGGGGAGATTTAAAACAGTCTTTATTTTGGTGCCCTTTAACACAGTTACATAAGCAGCCCTCTTATTTTCACAGTCTGTATTCGTACTAAAGTGATAGTAATCCATGGGTTTGTTTCAAAGGCTGCAGTCATCTAAGTTAAAAACCCAAACAGTGAGATTATCATCCTTCAGAAACCGCAGATGGACAGATATATGTGAGAGCTCTTTGATTTTTCTTTTTTAATTTTTCAAATTAAGAGCAGAATTTCCATGAAACGTGAAAGAAAGATGGCTTAGGTCAACAGGGACAGACGATTAGATTACTTGGTAAGAGCCTGAACTGATGGAGCGACTGGAGGAGTCCAAGATTGCAAATGTGCAAAAATGTATATCCTTTCACAAACGTGCAGAAATGACAAAGTGCAAGCTAGCAACTATCCTCCTGCCACAAATTCCTTATTAGACTATTTATCGTCCTCCAACATTTTGTATTAGTAGGCAATCGGGTAGTAAATAAATGCTGCTGAGTCCAACCAGAGCCAAGTCTAAGTTACTGTAATTGCAGAAATGTGCACTATTTGCTTATTCATGGGGATAACTAATTAGGTGTACACTGCTATCTAAGGTGGCGTATAATGAATTGGTGCCTTGCTAAGGTGGCTGTGCTAGATATACACTACTGTTTGTGGTTTTATTCTTGGACAGCTTACACCAGACACGATGAGCATGTTAATTAGTTGCACCGGGCCAGGCAATAATAACTGTCATGTTTATGCTTGATGAGCTGTGCTGGTAGTATAAGATGTAAAAACATGCCATTCATAATGTCATGATATGAAAAAGTCTCTATCAACAATTAACTTGTGTTCTAACATCTATTACAACTATCTTCCTTTTGGTTCAATTATATTATTGCACATTGTGAATGAACACTGTGCTATTGAACTTTATTTTCTCCTGGGTGTTGCTGCTAAACACACAGCAAACAAATTAAGAATTAATTTTGTGCATGAGTGGGAGAGCTAGTTAGATAATAACATATCAGATTCTAATGACACAGGAGGAATACATTTTTTGGAGATATATTGTTGGGGGTTTTTTAGGTAAGCATTCAGAAGAAAATGATTCCTCCTAATGATTAGGTGGACAAATGAACTGAGACAGGTAGCTAAGAGGTGTCTGGCTGTTATTACGACAAAGCATGTGTGAAGCGCATGCATGTGTGTTTGTGCGCATATTGTTAAAAATGACCTTTGGTCCCAAAGGCTCACACTATTCTTATTAATAGTCTGGGCCATGTGAGAGGCCAGACACTGTGTCACCATGGATATTTCATCAAACTGTTGAATCTACAAGCACACACACGCATACACACACAAAGTCAGAGTACCTGCATCAGGTTACCATTGTGATGAAAACCAGCAATCTATAATTTCAACAGAACACACACACACACACACACACACACACACACACACACACACACACACACACACCAATAAACAAAGTGACAAAAATAAAAACAGCCATCTAGAAATGTCACGCCAAGATGACAATGATGATTTGGTAGCCAAATTAGGATATGGAGCCACCAAAACAATCCCAGTTGATTAGATACTGGGAGGGAAATATGTAGCTAATGGTTATGGAGTTACATTTATTCAGTTTTCAAACTGACTAGCGACTCAGCTGACAGCTTCTGCAAACAAAGCCACGAGATTGAAAAGACTGTCACTGCAAATGTGTGGCACCTTTTCAGTGACTTACTGAGAGCAAGTTCTGTCATCCAGCCATGTATATTTGATGAGCTGTGGAGGAATGGACAGTGTCTGAAAACAGCACCCAACAGAGGGACCAATTTGATTTGTGACAGTGACAAAACAAGCGGCCAAATTAATCTCAGTTTTTATTTAATGCTGTGGAGTAAATGTGATTAGGCACCAAGGTGTTCAAACAGAGAAATAAATGCAAGATAATAAAAGCCCCAATCAGACCGCCTCATTGAAAAACAAAATTACCTCTCGCGCTAAGATAGTGGCAAATCAGACTTACCAAGGCGCATGATTATTATACTTTCTTTACCATTATCCCTGACTTGATTCCAACAGGCAGCTGATTATCTGTAACTTGTTCCAAATTGTCATCTGTCTGCCACAACGGGAAGAAACTGGCTGGTACATGCGAGAGCCGCTTGCTGCACTCACCTGCAGCACAGGCGCTGAAATAACTAGGACAGAAATCAGCTACAATTACGCTGTCAAAATGAGCTGACTGAAAATACATGCAGGCTCCCAGGCATAATGCACTGATTGACATAAACGCATAAATGGACGTGTGCAAGCCTTTGGAGGCACATACAGGCATCAGCACACAAACAGAGCTCACCTGATCCTTACTGAGTGTCAGGTTAGTCAGACAGCAACAGCCTGTCCTGTTTTACAGCTAGCTTTACAGAGAGTATCCATCTACGGGGTTAAGACCAATCATGTCACTCCTCTGAAGCACTGTTTTCTCTCTGGCTGACAACTGTGAGACAAAAATGAGCGGTGTAATCTGCAATGATTGGGGGTGTGGATGGTCGAGTGCTGGCAGAGGTAAAGAACACAGGTTTGATGTGGCGAGAAGATCAAAACCAGAAGATTGTGCTGCTATAAAAATTATCAACAGCTACGACCATACATAATCTGCTGCTATGGTTACAAGTAGTAATGGCTGCATGACTAATGCTGTCCAATTCCAGTTTACAAAAACCGGCCGCAAATTACCTACGTGGTAATCACAGGGGACGCTGGAGAAATTTGAGACGGAAAGCTGAGTAACCGTGCACAATTGCAAATACATAACCACACCTGGGATAGTAAGGGTTGGGCAAAGACGGCCTTCCATATCCTCCAGGTGTTTCTTTTAGCGTAAATGCACCTCTTGTGTCACAACCGCACCTTGAGGTTAAGAAGATTTACATGACACGATTGAAAAATATACAAGAACGAAAACAAGCTTTGCTAATCTGTTCTGTTATGTGAACTTTTACCTCTGTGCTTGGAATATCTTTAGTCCAAGGTTGAAAAGCCGCTCAGCTACCAGTATAGAGATGCAATGCAGGTATTTGGAAGCAAAACAAGAGGGGGGAAACATCTATAGTTCTTCCCACAGTTACAGCATTTTTCACATGTAAGGTAATTCAATACTCTTCAGTTAAAATAGTCAGAAACCGTCCTCGCTGATGCGGCGACAATTTCCTGTGTTAATGAAAGACGTGTATTCAGAGTAAAGTGGCAACTAAGAATCTGAGACCGCAGCGTTTACATTAGAAACACAACACACTGCCTTGTTTACATGGAAAAGAAGGTTATGTGAAGCTCCCCAAACTTCCAAGACTGTTATCTAGTTATCCACAAGTAGCAAAGCCTCAGTCACACCCTGTTCTGAGACATCCACACTAATATAATAGTGTGAATCACTGTCATATTTTTAGACTTTTGATTTCAGGTTGAATAAAATCTCTTCAAGTTTATTCCATGCAAGTCAGCTAGGAAAAGTAAAACAAGGATGTCTGTTCCCAAACTCAAACAATAGCAGCTACTCTGAGGTCATCTCAGGTTAAAGTCTCCCAACAGCTTAACACTAAAACAGGTGACTGACTACGTATGGCACCAGGCGACATGTCAGCACGATGTGCTTTCATGTTAAACAGCACCACAAATCTCCGGCGATCTGGCAAATTTCGTCAAGCAGGACAAACACAAAGAAACACTGTCTTTTTCAGTGTAAGACCTTTGAATGACTGAAACGCACTTCATACTCCAGTCTAACTCTGGCTGCTGCACTTGTTCCATTCACTCACCAGACTTTCCTTGCTCCCTGTCTGATTTCATCCCCTCCCCCGAGGGGAGTTCACCAGAGGACTCCAGGATCTGACGTGCGTCCTGAGACTTTCAGGACAGACCAAATCCTAAAATTACTGTTTCTTCAGCTTCCCAAACTCAAACCCTGTCATTCTTCAATTTTCATCCCCTAAAGTCAGGCTCAGTTGACACCAGGAAATAAATCCAGGAGTTATTCCTCTGTCTTTCCCCTGTAAGTGTACCTGTTCAAGGCTACTCCCATGAATTCAATGATACAGTGCATTAGGCCCCTCCCACTTGGCTCAAATAGTTAACTAGGTATGAAGGAGGAGCTCAAAGGGGCCATGACTACGATTTTCCCACATTATTCTAACACAGAGTTGCACCAATGAGGGAAAGAGCCAAGCCAAGGTGTAGTCTTACAGGCAGGTGGGTGTTAATTTGTGTGCAATCCAATACCAGCAAGCTGGACAAAACCAGGCCTGTTGACTCGCCCGAGGCTTGAGTAAGCTAATGCTTTTAAAATAACACTTATAGCATCATAAAAAAAGATCTTTAGCACCATTAAAACCACTGCTGCTGTGGGAAACTTTTGCACAAGAAAAATATCACGTGAGTTTTCTTTCCTGTGGTTGTCGAGCAACTTGAACAGTGCAAACTAAGTGCGCTCTGCAGAGTAAAGTAGAAGCTTAGGCAACACAATAATGTTTGGATTTATGACCAAATTTGTGGGATGTTCACAGGATATTGTCGTCATTTCTGGATTAAAACATAGGTCCACTTTAAAATGTAATAAACTGGATGTGTTTACACTGAATTGTTAAGGCAGTCTTTTAAAGCCTTCTGCATTCATTTTATATGCCTCTTGTTAATATTCTGGTTGACAAGGAATGTGTACAAAGTCACTGTGACTTAAAGCAGACACAGATGCGTGCCATTTGTAATCTTTTCTTTTTGTCCAACCACCCTTGCAGTGACACGATATTTGAGGCAGGACGGTGAGTGAAGAAATGCTGATGGCCTAGTAGTTAGACAGAAGGAGCTGAGATTTTAAAGAAAGTTGATAAGCCCATGCATTAATTAAGATTTATTCATCTTTCCGCAAGGAAAAGATAAAACCTTTTCAAATGAGCAGAATGATGACGATGACTATAAAAGTAATTCCTACAATTAAAGCACACATAGGGAATTAGTCATAAAAACGACAAAACAGTAGAACAGAGACTAATCAGAGAATAACAACGAGGATGTTGAAGTTATTTCCCCTTCATTCCACATAGTAATTAGGAATAAATCAGCAGTTTCTGTATGCCACTCTTTGCACAAAATTCATATTATATCAGGTGATTCAAAGTCAAATTTTAAGGATTTAAAATTTCTCTTCTCACTGTTAATCTCGTGAATTATTTATTTATATGCATTTTAAAAACCTTACTGGCCTCCTGGTGGTGTGTTGTCAAAAACCTTCTTAAACCATAATTTAAAAGTCTACTTTATGCTCAAGTTAGAAATCAAACATGGCAAAACAATGCAGCGTGAAATGTGATCAAATATAGAACAATAACTACTGAATTGCTCTTTATTTTATGACATCCATAAAGTATGTTCTGGACTCAACAATAGCAAATCACAAGACTTACTTTACAGACGTGTTTGTAAAAGCCCATGTGTACATTTTACTACAAAGAGCAAATATCACAAAAGTGTCTGAGATGTCTATTGCACCAGTCTATTTTCTTCTGTTTATTCAATTCAGGGCTGGAGCCTATCCCAGCTGTCACTCTGAGTACACTCTGGACAGATCTCCAGCCTACAGCAGGGCTAACGCAGAGGGACAGACAACCATTCGCACTCACATTGAAACCTACGGCTGATTTAGAATCACCATTTAACCTAAGCTATACATGCTTTTGGACTGAAAGACAGGAGAACCCAGAGAGAAGCCTCACAATTATGGGGAAACTATCCAAACTCCACACAGAAAGGACCCACTGACTGAATCTGAACCCCAGACTTTCCTGGTGTGGAGCAGGGCTCCTAAATACCGCACCATCTTGCCACCCCCCGACTTCTATTGGAAATATTTCAAGGTCAATTGACATCTATGGCAGAAGCCTATGTTATCCACATATAAAGCACAAAGTAAAATGAACTCAACTGAATTAAATAAGCATAAATACTGACAACATGGGCACATAGAGGCACTATTTTTTTGTGAGGCCACATCAAATACAAGACTTTGTACTGTGAACATGTGCTAATGTGATTTTACTTCATGATAACACACAAGGATGTTCAGCAATGCGTGGGAAGAAGTCTCCTGAGTTATATTGTCCCACACAATTGGAATCGAGCCACTGATTTTTTGCTGTAACTTATTTTTCCTGTACAGCCGTAATCCCATTCCACAGGATGGTAACCAATACCTTTTAATGCCAGTGAAGAGGAAAGATGGAGTTAAAGTAGCTATAAAGGAAGTCATGTACCTCTGCACAGTGTGTAATGAATCTACGGATGAGACATGACTCAGCTTCCAGCTCTGGAGAAAAGTCATTTATCGTGTACAGATGTTGGCTGTAAAAATTTCTACAATAATTTTAAAGAAATACATGTGTGTGTGGAAGGGGTGGGGGGGGGGACCTCAGTGCAGTACCAAAGAAATTATTGCTCTGCTGTTCTTGAAATGTGAAATGAACTGGCAATTAGATTGGGTTTTACCATATAAAACAAAGGCAAGCAAGTTGGATACATCATTTTTATTATACTGTTCTTGCTTAAGATTTGTTGGGACATGCTAGAAGACTATAAGGTTACTAGTAAGAGATCCAACTGTAGCTCAAACTCAGACACTTATGAAGACAAAGTGCTAATCAACAGCTCTGTTGGGTTTCCTAATTAAAAGAATGTACTTGGCATTCACTGGCTATTTACACTACATTAAGACAGCATCAAATCACTCTTCGGGGACTGAGGAACATGGGGAAAATTAGCTATCTGTGATACACATTGCTCCACTGCCTGATGATAAAGTGATTTCCCTGTATTTTATGTGAAATTATGAATGCGAAAGAAGCTTTTCTGCATGTCCTGGATGCCTGGAGGTGATGACCTCGAAGCACAGTCCTTTAAATTAAAAATAATTAGAGCAACCAGTCTCTTTGTCTATGTGCAGTGAATTAGGTTGGCACAATAACTCAAAGAAAAGCAAGCAAAAAACTTCAAATCATGTATGTGTGTACATATAGTATGTGTGCGTACACAGTATATAAGTATAGATCTCTAATGTCAGCAACATGGTGCGGACAAAGTCCACCAAATTGGCCTTTGTTACAACACACAGTGCGTGTGTTAATGGACTCCATGTCCTCATAAATTCTCACTTTCCCTTTTCCTTCTCTCCGTGGTCTTTCTCAACAACCTTCAAATAAATCAGGATTAAATCAGTCCATAAGTCACAAAGTGTGAACTAATGGAGTTAAAAGTAGTAGTGAACTGTGAAGAAGACCAAGTAAAGAGAAGACGGTTCTAAGCAGAATGTGATACAAAAAGTAATAGAGGGAGATGTCTCAGAAATAAAGTTGTCACGGCAGTCTGAGCCACTGTAAAACACTGCAGAGGGTAAATGATCTCATGTACAGCAGGAAACTGCTGCAGCGCTGTTCTCTGCTGCTTAAAATTTCAGCACTGCAGCACTATCCACAACAAAATCAAGCTAATCAATGTGTGTCTTCTGCTGCACATATGCTTTTGTGTATCACTGGCTTTTTTGGCACTATTTCTTGCATTTTTCTATTTGTCCGGCCACAAGAAGTGGAACTGGGGACTCAGCTGCCGAAACATTTTAGCCCATCTGGTATGTGTACAAATCAGTAGGGTCAGGAGGAGGAGTGCATGGTTGTTACCGTAAGTATGAGGGACTATCAACTCAGCAGTCGCCATCAATGATTCTTAACAACAGTTCTTGACCTGCCTCATAGTGCATTACAGTGATTGAGCAGACGTGACTAAATGTTCCCTTTAAATCCATTTGGTGCAGGGGTTTCACTTTAAAAAATCTACAAACTATGCAATTTCCCCATAAATGCCCAAATGTTTGGATGCATTTGTAACCCAGGGGTTGTAACAAAGAAACATAAGTGTTTATAATGTGTGACCTCAAGACAATATTGTTTCTTTCCTATAATTTTCTCCACACACCTCACCTTTTTACTCTTTTTTACCACAGGCAAATCACACAAAATGGGGACAGAGATTCAAATGGAAAATTGTAACTTGAAACTTTGCATGAAGTTCTAACGGCTACTTAGTACTTTTATTGACCTATTGTGTCTAAACCTAGAGTTTGGCCCACATTATCTTGAACAACACAACTGTTGTTATTTTAAGTAGAGGGACCAAACCAAGCTCGTGTTGCAGATATAGGATGAAGTGATGACTATCAGCTTTGATTTCAGGAGCTTAAAAGAATATGGTTTCTAATTGTTGAAAAATTAATATGAAAGCTGATGAACAGAAGAGGGTTATTTCTTCATTATGTTGTTTTCTTCTACGTTTTGAAGGACAAACTGAAGGTGGCCAGCTGGCTGTTCATTTCATTTCATGATCCAAGGTACAATTTAGAAATTAAACAAAACACAAACACACATTTAGTATCACCTTGGCACAGTGCTAGGCTAAGGTGTAAATCCAAATCCTAATGAGGTGTAGGTGTGGATTTTAAGACTGCAAAACAAACAGAGAAACATCTCAGAAGGAGTCAGACAATATATAATCTGATTAAGAGCACAGAGCGTTTAAATTCTGGAATGAAAATTTTAAAACATGCATTTAATTCGGTCATTGCAGGTTTGAGTAGATGGCACAGCACACCTGAGTGTTTATCAAGGTGATGACAGACAACCTGCAAACTAAGTTTCTTTCAATATGGGTTTGTTTGTAGCTCAGGAGTCATCTAGCCAGGTCATCTACTAATCAGAAGGTTGGTGGTTCAATCTCTAGTCTTCAGTCTGCACACCTAAGTATCCTTGGGCAAGATACTGAACCAAAACCTGCTCTCTGATACATTGAGTATGAATGTGTGGATGTTAGCGAGAAAGCACTAAGGTGTAGGGAAAAAAGCACGTGTGTCGGTGACTCAGGCAGTTTGTATAAAGCTCTTTGACTGCTCAAGTACAGCAGAAAGGTGCTACACAAGAATCAATCCATTCATCAATCTACATGTTATGTTTTTGACACATTTTAAAATGAATTCATATTTCCTTATCAATCAAAACACAATATTCGTTAGTGTCGTAGCAAAATAAAGTTTTGAAGTGTGAACTGGAAACTCATTAAAAAGCTGTCTGTGGCTCTTATACTTTGCATTAAACTAATAAACGGTCTGATTATTTGGCAAGAGCAGAAATCTAAATCTTTGTAGTGCCACAGCTAACGCAATGGGTTTTAATTTACACTCCTTGAACACTTTTCTCTTTAAACCCATCTTAAAAATGTTTTGAGAAAGGTCTTAGCGATTACATTACTCAGTAAAACAGATGGCTGTACTGTAACCAACAAAAGCCCTGCTATAAAGTCTTTGGTCACAGATTTTCATCTGGGATTCTGAAAGCAGATGTGACTAGAGGGAAGGGTGGCGGAGGGGAAACTTAACACCAACACAAACGTTCCTGTTGGATCCCTTTTTTAACCTCTTAATGGATTATCTATGATATTATGGCTTGTTGAGTGGTAAAGACCACCCAGAAGTCTGTGCTTCAGATTTGTTTAGTTGTTTAGTAACTCAGTCCGTTGCTTGGCACTCAGTAACCAACATATGTGTTGTGTGTTGCGCCCATTCAGTTTATGACTGCAACTGCTAACCAAACTTGCTGGCCTCACCTGACAACTTGAATCTATTTAAGATAACTTCTTACATGGTGGCAGCTTATACATCAACATTGAAGCTATGCCCCTCATTCCTATTCTCTATGGATGCAATCAGAGGAGTCGCCCCCTGCTGGTCATTGATAAGAACTTCATTATTCAGACCAAGAAACTATACTCAATGAGATTAGCTTTATTTGGCTAACCTGGATTTCTGGTACTAGGGTTCAGTCTGAACTGAACTAGCAACAACTAAACATCACAGCTTTACAACTAAATTTATGTTGTTTTGTGATAACAGTTCAGTCATTTAAATATGACAACAGGTTAGACAAATACAGCCTGCCTCTGACTGGATTCCGTGGGATGTAGAAAGAAGAACAAAACAGGATTTTTATTGGTAAATGGTCTAATATAAGCTTGTGTTTTACTGAATTTTCTTCTTAAACTGTTTGTTAAAGCAAGCCAGCCATGCACACACATTGGCGCACACACGTAGGCATACACCCACATGTACTGATATGCATATTTGGTTTTTTTTTTTTTCCTGTAACAGTATTTCCTTTGAAGACTGCTTAAATAAAGCCCTTCACAGCAGACAAGTATGATCTAGACCCTTTGAAATCCAGCTTTTAGACTTCATGACCTTTGAGTTCTACTTTTCAGAAGCCTCCTTTAATGAAGCCGTTAGAAAGCGACAAAGACCGAAGACAGTCTCACTGCTGCTCTGCTCCCTCCGTCAGCTTTAACCTCTCTGTAGCTTTTAACAGGAAGGCCAGAGGACACACAAGCACACAGATAAGATCGTTGTCTGTGCAAACTGCGGCACAATTTTCTTAGGATTCATAAGATCACATTTCTGTGGATCGACGGCTCAAAACTCCATTACAGGGATATAATCATTATGTCCAGAGTAATAAGTCTAAATTACCATTTCCCTTCCTTTCTTTGGTCATACTAGCCGGATTATGTAAAAACTGGCCACGACCTTGTGATCATGGCATACAGCATGTAACATAATAATATTGCTCTGTCCAGTTACTGCACTTATGCAAATGAGTCACATTAAAATGGCAAGCCTAGCTACTCTTGGACAATTGTGTCTAAGCATTTCTGAGTAGCTATTTCTGATGTGTGTAAATTACAATGGAGAGGCCTGGATATTGTTGCTGAAGGCAATTTAGCTGCCACTCTCCCACTGGCTGTAAGAGGGCTTCGATGGGGGCAGGTGTTTTGGAAAGTGTCAGCACATGAGAAAAATGGAAGTGCTCAGCAGAGACCGCTCTGCACAGTCACCCCCCCACACGCACAGCTTCACATTCTCCCGTGCTTTATTAATCGTTTGTTCTTTTCTGTCTCCGCCTGCTTCACCGGTTGATTTTCTCGTGTTAATCAGAATATGCCTGCAATAACGTTTCCTTATGTAATCCCTCACCTAGTCTTTCTCCTTCTCCTTGCAGTGCTCTTCAACTCTTTTATCCTCCACTTCCCCCTTCCCTGTCTGTCCTTCCCTCTTAAGCCAGTTTTCCCTGGAAGCCCTGTTTGACTCCTTCGCATTGACCTTCCTATCTAATGTGGCGCACATACCAAGCCTCGCCCGGCTGGTGACATCAGTGCCACTTAATGTGCCGAAGCAGCACCTGTCTTCATTATGATCCAGCACTCACTGCTTACATTGGTCTCTCCCTCTCCTTCCCTGTCTCTCTCTCTCATAGCACAGCCTCTTAGATCCCCATTCTCATTCTGATGAAACTTGTGGTGATATACGTGGCCTTGGCCACTGCAGGGGTTTGGTGTGCCTACGTGCTTTTTCCTGAGTCTGCACATTTACAGCACCCAGGAAATGTCTATAGAACTAAAGGACCAGCTGCTTTATGCTCTGTAGGAGTGACGCACATATAAAAGGTTTAAAAATATGACCGAATCTGTCAGTATATCTGCTCGCTTGAGTCTCAAAAGCAGATTTTATATGTTATCATGTATTTTATGTTTACAGTATTGAAGTGTTAATAATTTATTAAGCTGTCGGTGAATGCAGTGAAGAATGACAGAAATACAAAAGTAAAAGTACCTTACAGTTGTAATCAGGAACAAGAAACTGCAAAAAATGATTGTTGTGTGACCATTTGTGAGTGCACTCAGTACCATCGCCACACTGGCACACACTATTAGGAAGAGACAAGAGACCTGGCATTCAAATAAAGCCCTAAGCAGGATACTCTAATGAATAAAGGCCCTGGGCGGCTGCCTGGATGACAATAAAGATCCATACTGGAACTGGCAACTTTACAAGACACACTACTCAGGACACACTCCTGGACTGATGCCGTACTTAACATCTTTGATCTTCTATAAAAGACTCCAAGCTTTAGTGATGAAAGTGCTGGAACATGGAGACGGACTCCAGACAAACTACTAAAAGTGTTTGTCTGGAGAGCGGCTGGCGCTAATGTGAGACCCGTCTGACCACCCAGTCAGATAAGCGTCATGGGAATAAATACAGTCTTTAAAGTTAATAGGCTGCTTTTCCAGATGGCTCTCGGTGACACAAGTGACTAAACACACAGGGCAGACTGTGGTGACGGTGAAGCATGAGCTGAAGTTGGGTAACCGTTTAATAAAAAGTAAAACAATCCTTTTCTAAATTGCTTCTAAGTGCATAATATTATAATTACTATGAACTTCTGACCTCGTTTAAGTGATTAAAAAAGCATCTCTTTTTATAACACATAGAGCTTAAATAATATAGTACACTTGAAACAACATGGTGGAATCAGTTCTTAGTAGTTTAAGTAATACACACTCTCATTTCTGACAAATGCAAGCCGACACTGCTGAGACGGGGGAGTAAGTGATGCGCTTACTGCATTACAAATCCTCGCGTGCACATCTTAAAGACCCTGAACCTGACATGTTTATGGATTTAATGCATTTCCAGCTGCATGTGTGTGTACATACACTATATTTGCATATGTGTATTTGGGCGAATCTATATGAACTTTCACATCCACCAAAGCTTTTACAGCAAAGCAAGCGCAGGAAATGAAACATATTTCACCTGATTAGAGTCTTACCTTTGTCCAGAGAGGCATCTGGAGAATTGAAGTCCATGAGACTGCTGATTTCAGTCTTGTAACAGAGTTCGGTAGCCGGGGGCTTCTGCCTCTGGTGGGGAGAGGGATCTAGGAGAAGAACAAGCAACCACCGGTTTTAACTTGATGAATGACATGTAAAAGGATCAATGAATACAAAGAACAATTCATTTGTATGATATGCAGTTTGCACTATAAGTATTTGGATACAACAAAGTTTTGGTAATCTTGAGTCCGCACACCACCAAGGTAGACTTTAAATCAATAAAGCTGCGATTCAAGTGCAGATTTTCAGCTATAAATCAAAGGGTTTCACAGAAGTACTGCTTTAACTGTTTAGGAATTACAGTCATTTTTAGTCTTCCAGTTTTAGAAGCTCAAAATTAATTGGACAATTAACTGACAGATGAGCCGCGTTCCCCCGTTATTCCTTGGTAAATTGTGCAGATAAAATATCTGAGGTTGGTTCCAAGTGCCAAACTTGCATTTGGTAACTGTTCACTGCAGCTTTCAATATGAGGTCATAAGGTGTCAGTGCAACTGAGTGAGGCTATCATTAAGCTATCAGAGGGACAGCAGCCAAATCTATATTCTGGATCTATAAATTCATGGACCAATAGACCTAAAAGACCACAGATGACGAGTAAAGTGGGACAAAAAATTATTCCTTTGGCTAATAAAACCAAAACAAAAGAGGTAGGCATATTGTTATCAAAATCTACAATCAAAAGAATTCTTTGGATAGATGAAGCAAGAGAAACTTACCAAGGCAATGGGAGAAAAAGAAAAGTATGGCAACGTAAAGAAAGAAATCATAATCCAAAGCATACCCCATTGCTTGACAGATAAGTCAAGCATGATAGAGACAATGTTACGGCAGGTATGGCAGCCAGTGGACCCAGGTCATGAGTGTTTATTGATGATGTGACTGCTGATAGAAGTAGCTGGAGAAGTTGTGAAATGGGCTATACTCTCTGCTCAGGTTAAGCTAAATCTGCAACACTGGTCACACTGACAGCACTTTGCACTGCAAGTGGATAACAACCCAAAGCAAACTGCAAACATTTCTCAATGCAACTAAGCTGGATATTTTTCAAAGGCCAAGATGACCCGATCTCCACCCAACAGAGCAAGCATTTCAGCTTTGACTACAAGGCTGAAGTCAGCTGCAGCGGTCGGTGACGTTCATGGGTTCTAAATTTCACTGTCTGCAAGTCATTGTCTACTAAGGATTTTCATCCAAGTAATAAAAACAATCTTAAAAATTAAAATCATGTCAGTGTGAAAGTCTCTGAAATGTGGGACTATGTTTGAAAATGGTTTGAATTAAAGCTGAAAGTCACCTCAGTCAATCAAGATGTGACTGAAGTGCAAACTTATTAACATAAACAGACCGACAGGCATTACAGGTTGCAATGTGTGTAGGAACCAGAAGGATTAATGCCGCACACAACACCAACAAGTCCACAAACTCCTTCCCAGTACACACATAATCAACTTTTACTCCTCACTCCTTACACTGTAAGGAAACTGAGAGACTGATGCACACACATAAATATTAGCATTTTTATAACCCGAGTGCATTTGATTTCATGTGAGGTTCAGTGGTTTCTAATATAGTTTTTGGTTCCCACCAGTGGCATGCAGTGAATGCATATTGAATGCATTGCTCCAGGTTAACTCACATAAAAGTGTTTGCTAAAATGACTTTGTCACTTAGACGTGTACAGTCAACTTCTGCTGTCCTCTCAGTCCATCACACTCGTGCATGCATGAAGAGTTTTAGACAGCCAACACTCCAAGAATGACAATTGCTACTTCAAGACGAATAATAAAGTTCTCTTAGCAAAAAAAAGTTGAAATATTTGAGATTCTCCTCTGCTCACACATACAATAAAATTCCCATTTCTGCAAACTACATCTTTTCCACTTCACTCTTCAATCTCTGCTCCTCCCTGGCCTCTACCCGTTCCTTCTGCCATCACTCCACCACCCACCTATTAAGATGCTGTTTGCTGGTTGAATTATTTGCAGTAATTGAGCACAGATGTGTCTGGGAGCTGAAGTTCCAGGGGTGGTGCTGTCATTACGGCAAGATTAGTCATCTCACTTTTTAAAATGGGTTTTATAAGGCTACAAATAACAGCCTGGCTCCCTGTCCCCCACCTAAGGTGATTGGTAAAACATGAGGGCTGTTTTTAACTGCGCATAACTCTTTGCCACCTTGCAAACGTATAATTTTTCAAACTCGCCCGAGGTGCAGCCTTTGGCACTGGGAACACAGATGTCAGTTTTTTGAATAATGTATAAATTCAAAGCTCACACTTATCTGCCAAGTTCAAGCCGTTGCTGCCCAGTAGCCTCGTGAAAATGTTTTATCTTCCCTGCATAGTACCTTTGACAGGCCCTCACCGACATTTAAAACCCAGGCAAAGGCTAAGAGTATGGTGGAATAAATGCCAAGGAAGAAGTAAACCATGACAGCTGTTTGATGACGATAGTAAGGTTAAGCCGGTATGGAGGGAAAAAAGCATAGAAATATGATGCAGACTGAGCCGAGGTATGACTTGACAATTTAAAAAATAAATAAATAAATAAATAAATAAATAAATAAATAAATAAATAAATATATATATATATATATATTTTTTTTTCTTTTTTTTTTCTTTTTTTTTAACTGTAAATACCATCATGTCGAGCTAAAATAACAATTTCCACAAATACCTTGAACTCATTTACTCCTCATCTCTGGATCTCTTCATCTCTCTCTCAAGTTTCAAGTGTTATCCAAAGGGTATTTTGGTCATTTCAGATTACATTTGATTTTTTTAATAAGATTATGAAATGATCAAAATACTGCTAATGATTGAACAGACTTGAACACCTTTATAAAAAAACTGGTCTGAATATCCACAAGGAAATGTTTAATAATCATATTATGTATTATAAGGAGTGTATTAATCAAACAAAATCTGCTTACTACTCCACCATTATCTGTTCAAAAGATGACTCAACCAAGATACTGTTTTCACTGTTCAACTCTTCTTTCAGGTCACCAGATTCTTTACCTGCTCATCTTTACTCATCCTCCTTTTGTGATTCTTTAATGTTATTTTTCATTGAGTATATTCACAAAATACACCAAGAACTGGTTTCCAAGGTTCCATTTAGCTCTTCCTGTGTAATTCATCTCCCATCACACTGTTTTTCTGCTTTCCAGCTCCCCTCGGTTACTGATATTTCAGATTTCATCTGTAAGTCAAAACCTTCTACTTGTCAGCTAGACACCATTCCTACAGTTTTGGTTAAGGCATGTTTACCTTCTTTGCTTCCCCTCATATCTGCCATCATCTGCTCTTCACTTACCACTGGAACTGTTCCTGCTTCCCTCAAAATTGCCGCCATCACCCCAATATTGAAAAAAACTGGTCTAGATCCCAATAATTTTGAGAATTTTTGGCCTATTTCCAATCTACCATTCCTTTCAAAAATTCTTGAGAAAATAATTGCCACACAACTCCACTCACAATTAACTAATAATAATCTGTATGAACAGTTCCAGTCTGGTTTTCGCCCCTCCCATAGCACTGAAACAGCACTTATAAAAATAACCAATGATCTTCTTATGGCAGCTGACTCCGGTTCACTTTCCATTCTTATTCTCCTCGATCTGAGTGCTGCTTTCGACACTATTTCTCACTCTATACTTCTCAGTAGGCTAGCCTCTATCGGTCTCTCCCATACTCCACTAGCCTGGTTTAAACCATACCTGTCTGATCACACTCAGGTCATTCAACTCAAATCCTTTACTTCTCAGCCCTTCCCTCTGACCACTGGCGTGCCCCAGGGATCTGTCCTAGGGCCCCTTCTTTTCATTATCTACCTTCTACCGCTTGGACATATTTTCCGTAAATACAGTGTTATGCCGATGACACGCAGCTTTATCTGTCCACTAAACCTGATTCTGCTCTTCCCCGATCCTCTCTTATCCTCTGTTTAGCTGAACAAAATTCATGGTTCTCTTCTAATTTTCTCAAACTCAATAGTAATAAATCTGAGCTCCTCTTGGTCGGCACTAAATCAACATTATCCAGAACCAACAGTTTCTCTATTACTATCGATAACTCACCGGTCTTCATTTCTTCCTCTGTGAAAAGTTTGGGTGTCATCCTCGACAGTACTTTACCTTTCAATTCACACATTAATAATGTTACTCTGTCTGCATATTCTCCTGCCTTGCAGCAGCTTCATTGGCTCCAATATAAATATCGCATCAAATTTCAAAATACTCTTGTACACATTTATTAAGGCTATTCATCATCTCTCTCCTCCATATCTCTCTGATCTGGTTAAGATCACCGCTCCATCTCATTGTCTCAGATCTTCTTCTTCCCTTTCACTCTCCGTCCCTTCCCCCGTCTTGCAACCATGGGGAGCAGGGCTTTCAGCTGCTCTGCTCCACGACTCTGGAATTCCCTACCTCCTGATCTAAGAAATATCTCTTCCTTCTCACTCTTTAAGTCCAAACTCAAAACCCACTTGTACAAAATAGCTCATAACCTCTCCACTCTGCTATTTTATTTGTTTATGTCTTATGCTTTTATGATTCTGTAAACTGCTTGCTTTTATGTTGCTTTTATTCTACTGTGTACAGTGACCTTGAGTATTTTGAAAGGCGCTTTCAAATAAAATGTATTTTTATTATTATTATTATTATTAACACTGGTTCAGTTAGTGCACACTTAAGTCAAAGGTATAGAGAGATTTCTGCTCTAAAGATTTTATAAGAAATGCTTTTCAAATTTACAGGTTTAAGATAAAAAACACATTTAACAGTAGGGGGAGAGATCAGTCAGTCTGCAGCTCTGAAAATATAAAATGTCATTTTTTTAGTCAAATTGATTTATCAGGGAGGTAGATGTGTTTTTTCGGTCACTGTTCATGCCCTTTGAATCAATGCGCTTTTGAAATCGCTG